AAGTGTAACACTTTAAACTATTCCATAATAGTTTAAAGTGTTACACTTAAAAACGTCTTAATTAATGGGTGTTTGAGTGTAAGAAAGCAACAATTAAACACCCGCAGGGATCTAATCGAATGAGTTATGCTTAGTTTGTCTATACGGACGCAGTTATCACAGTGAACTTGTAGCGTTAAGTTAACTGGGCCATTTATTTTGGGGAAATCTGTCTGATTAACTGGCTAACACTATCCCGATAGTTTCTGTTTACAACTAAGTACTAAGGAAATTTTGATTCCCTTTAAACATCCCGCGCAAAACTTTCTCAAAAATTTGAGATAATCAAAAGCATATTAATATTCAAAAAGCACGTTACAGTTCGTTAGGCGTAAGCTAGGCTTTGCATTTGTGTGAAAGAGTCACTAAGAGTAGAGTCAGGCAAAAATATTTAATAAAAATCGTAAAAATGTTTTATCATTTACACAGGAATAACTAGGTAGGTAGTTATTCTTTAAAAAGTAAACTTTTTGCAGCAGTTTCTTTACGACACTTTGGTATTTCAAAGAAATTGCATGCGCCTATCTTAATATTCATACAAAACTTCACTCAGCAATGAAAAGTAGCTCATAATGCAAATATCGCATTTACAGCTCGGACCGTCTATTGCCGTAGTTAATTTCTGTAATTTGGTAAACGTCATAACACCGTGAGGGGAAACATATTAATTGTGGAATAAGTGGACAAACTAGGGAGGCGAGGTTCATTACCATATCGGGGCCCATAAATTATAGGTCCAAGTCCTGATGGTATATTTGTGGTTGTTACTATTATTTATTATCTGTGCTGTCGCCCGGTGCACGAAAACAGATTAAAAAAATAAGCGAAGTGGTCACTTTAATGGGGACAATGTAGACCTCTAAATTAACTGGCACGAAATTAATGGTTTGTTTTGTAATTAAGCGCTTTTATTGTAATTGTAGATCGGTGTCTGTGATTAATTGGACTGAACAAATGGCATTTTTTTCATCCTGGTAGGAACCTGTATGAGACTTGTTTTTGGCCCATTCACATTTCCTAAACCCTAAGCTGATTTTCAAGTTTATAAATTAATTAAACCGACAACAGAATGTCTCAGCAGTTCCTTGCTTGCGAAGAAAATCGTCTGAAAAAAAAAGAAAACAGTAAGTAGTTATTTTTTACAAGTTGTGAGCGTTTGAATAACGCATTTACCGGTCGGATCTACTATAAATAGCTTTTTGGGCGTCAGCCCAGGGCCATGGGGCCCCATTCCTTGAATCTATGGAGATTCAAGGAATTCATTGAATCCATCCAGCTAAGTCAATTAAGTCAAAAATAAGTGTAGTAGTAGGTGGGCAATAAGTAGGTACAAAGTATTAGCCCAGGGCCCCTAAACTCACGGTCCGGCCCTGTCCAGACTTGATTTAGGTAGGTACTACAAAAATATAACTTTATTGAGCCTAACAATTTTACCCTGCGTACTGTTTGTTTGTTTGTATGAATTGTATCCTCACATTCTAATATCAGAATACGAGCGAGTGTTTCCTTTTCACGTCCCGACCGCCCCCCGCTGCGTTATGACATTCACGACTAATCGATGTGATGCTGTATGTTAATCGACAATCCATCGATGTCGGCAATCGATAGAAAAAGTCGAGCGTTCGATTACAACGATACACGATACGTTGGCACAGAAGGCGCATTGCTTGCTGTGAGAACTTAAAAGAACTGGTGCGGCTGCTAGCTGGTGTTACAAAAAGCTGTTTTATGTTGACTGTGTTTGAGTTATCATTACTTAAAATCAGGTTTTAAGTCAATATGACACCAAAATTATCATCTATGTCTTAGTATTTTTCAAGTTCAAGCATAGCATAGGTACTTAAGTTTAGTTAGAGTCCTATTCAACGAGGTGAAAATGATCATGCTACATCAATTTTTACTGTGACCTGGATAGAGAGATAAAATTCGTATCCTGATGGTATATTTGTGGTTGTTACTATTATTTATTATATGTGCTGTCGCCCGGTGCACGAAAACAGATTAAAAAAATAAGCGAAGTGGTCACTTTAATGGGGACAATGTAGACCTCTAAATTAACTGGCACGAAATTAATGGTTTGTTTTGTAATTAAGCGCTTTTATTGTAATTGTAGATCGGTGTCTGTGATTAATTGGATTGAACAAATGGCATTTTTTTCATCCTGGTAGGAACCCGCGTATGAGACTTGTTTTTGGCCCATTCACATTTCCTAAGCCCTAAGCTGATTTTCAAGCTTATAAGTTAATTAAACCGACAACAGAATGTCTCAGCAGTTCCTTGCTTGTATTAGAGGCCGGTCGATCTATTCTCATAAATAAAACACTGGATACTCATCTTTCACATTATATTGCCTTATTTTAGATACAATTCATCACTTAGCACAAAAGCGCGCGGAGTCGTCTCCGCGCCTCCCTCTATTCTGACGTTTTATCCTCGTGTGACATTGACGTATTGTCAATGTCACTATAACAGCAACTCATTGGCCACAACTATATCGTTATTTTAACGTATTAGATTTTTCATAATTAACACTTGCGAAGAAAATCATCTGAAAAAAAAAGAAAACAGTAGTTATTTTTTACAAGTTGTGAGCGTTTGAATAACGCATTTACCGGTCGGATCTACTATAAATAGCTTTTTGGGCTTCAGCCCAGGGCCCCATAGATTCAAGGAATTCATTGATTCCATCCAGCTAAGTCAATTAAGTCAAAAATAGGTGTAGTAGTAGGTGGGCAATAAGTAGGTACATAGTATTAGCCAAGGGCCCCTAATCTCACGGTAACATAACTTTATTGAGCCTAACAATTTTACCTTGCGTACTGTTTGTATTGTATGAATTGTATCCTCACATTCTAATATCAGAATACGAGCGAGTGTTTCCTTTTCACGTCCCGACCGCCCCCCGCTGCGTTATGACATTCACGACTAATCGATGTGATGCTGTATGTTAATCGACAATCCATCGATGTCGGCAATCGATAGAAAAAGTCGAGCGTTCGATTACAACGATACACGATAATGTTGGCACAGAAGGCGCATTGCTTGCTAGCTGGTGTTACAAAAAGCTGTTTTATGTTGACTGTGTTTGAGTTATTATTACTTAAAATCAGGTTTTAAGTAAGACACCAAAATTATCATCTATGTCTTAGTATTTTTCCAGTTCAAGCATAGCATAGGTACCTACTTAAGTTTAGTTAGGGTCCTATTCAACGAGGTGAAAATGATCATGCTACATCAATTTTTACTGTGACCTGGATAGAGAGATAAAATTCGTATCAATAGAATGATACAGCTTATCTTTTGTTTGGGTTTAGGCCCTAAACTTTAGGGTAAGTAGGTACAATGTGGCACAAAACATGGCACGGAACCTAGGTACGGCCATAGACAAAAAGAAAAGTACTGAATTTAGGACTTCGTTTCTTAGTTCTTTTAACGAAACACACAAACACTCGAAAAACATAATCCTCCTTCTTGCGTAATCGGGTAAAAACATCAAATTCAAAACTATTGCTGGCATCTAGCGGATTTTACCGAACTACGTAACCAAACATACTAGTTTTAATATACCAAACTAGATGGCGTGATTTGAGATATTTATTATCTGTATCTAATGCGTTTCGTTTGATGATAAATGTTGTTAAAACTTGTAATAATAAGATCAAAGTCATACTTTGAATAATTAAAAATATTTTTCTCAATTAACAGTTCTTAAAATAATTAAATAAGAAACAAAATATACAGGAATAAAAATGTAATAACTGTAGCACAGAGCAGAGGTTGCTAACACGGTTAACTAAACGTAATAATGACATGTTGACAGCGATGACACGATTGACGTTTTATGCAGTGGTGCCAGATTAGGCGAATTATCGCCATTTAGGCTACCTCTGGGGGTCAAATGGCGACCAAAAAATGCAAACGGCTACCGGTAGCCATTTAGGCTACCTAGAAAATAAGATCGGGCTATTTAGGCTACTTCAGGATTACCTTGGAAAAATAAATCCTAACCTAGTATTCTGTAATTCAGTTAGTTTTTTAAAATGACCCCTACCCCCTTTACTACTCTAAAAAGTCCAAACTCCATACTAAATCCGTCAATTTTTTTCTAAGTGTCAGCTCCATACAAATTACGTTCGAAAATTCGGTTATTCGGCTAAGTCCTGCATCCCCTTTGCAACACCCTAACCGTACATAAATAATAATGATCAAAATCTGTTTACTTTACACATTACCGGTGGGCCAGCTGGTATTCTACGTTATACAATGCCTAGGAATTACATACACCTGTTAGTAGGCCTAAGATGCGCGCCGTGATAACTTTTATCGACGTCAAAATGTATGGGCAAAATCGATAAAATGGCGTGATAACCGCTTATCGCGGCGCGCATGTTAGGCCTACTGCCTAGGTAAAGTATTTATTGAACAATAATATTTTACACATTGACTAGGGATTGTATAGAATTCCTAAATTATACAAATTAAACACATACATTACGCACACACTTACACGCAATATAAATACACGATTTAAGAAAACAACATGGCCGCAATATAGGAAATGACAGGTTGTGTGTGTTGTGTGTGTGTGTGTGTGTGTGTGTGTGTGTGTGGTTGTCAGCTGATTGCCTATATTGCAGCCATGTTGATTTCTTAAATCTTGTATGTACTCGGCACAAGTCAGGTAGTTAGTGACGTCACATAAAAATGTTGCCAGAATGAGTAGGCTGACCAAACATTATCTATCTCTTTTTTCATACGTCACCATGGGTAAGTTACAAAGAGATAAACAGTGTTTGTCATTAATGTGTCGATATGATATGTATTTTTGTATACTTACCTCAAAATGTTAGGCGAATTAGGCTACTTCAGGAAAAAAAATATATTAGGCGATTTAGGCTACTCGGTAGGAAAAATTAGGCGAATTGAGTTAGCTGATATCTGGCAACCCTGGTTTTATGTCATGTATATTTTTTTCGCAATGTTTTTGTCAACAATCATGATCTAATCTATTTTTGCAATGTTTTCCGAGGTGTATTTGGATAAATAACAAGCTAAAAATGAAAAAAACATCGTCACAAAGAACAATAATATTGTTTGCACCAATATCACTTCGTGACAGTGTTTCATGACGGAGTTTAAGAAGTGTTCAAATTACAGTAACCTAAAAATCCTTAAAAATGCATTCAATAAGGCAGCAAGTAATTAAAAATCCTCTAAAATACTTTCGAATTCTTAACAATCTTCAAAAGAAGCATAACTTATATCCCAGTCCTGTGTATTACTACGCTACAAGTATAGACATCGATGCTTTTACCAGTGACTTGATTGAAAGGTTTAAAGATAGACAAGCCATTACAGTAACTAATTTGCAGAATATTTCTATACGTCACTTCATGGATGATAGCAACAAGATTAAAGATGTGTCCAAAATGTCCATTGAAGATGTTCAAAATCTAATTTTGCATCTCATGTCCAAGAATAAAGATAGCCAAGTAGATCAGATACTGAAAGATTGTCTTACGGCTCAAATGTTTATCGGAGAGCCAACGCTAAAGTTGTTATTCAGACATTACAGTGGATTGGGCAGGACGGACATGGTAGAAATGTTGCAAACATATTGCTTGAAAGGCGACAGAATATTGTACAAAAGACATGGCCAATATTTGCATTATCTAGCCAAGGCGCAATGTATGAAAGGCAATTCTGATAAAGGTTTGTCAATACTGAAGCAGTGTTACGAAAACAACACACAGTTACGAAGTCGCTATCGAATAATTTTTAAAGAATTGATACATGATTCTGTTATGAATAGATCGGAAGCGTCGCTAGTAATTTTTAGGAAATACATATTTGAATTCAGTGAAAGGTTTAGTGATCATTATCCGTTAGTGTGCTTTTGGCATAGTTGTTGGTCAAGTAGTTGGTTTTCTGACCAAATGTTAGCTGATGAGTTATTAGAATCATCTAAGACCCTTCGAGGTATAATTCAAGACAGGTAAGGCTACTTTTGTCTTTCTGTTTGATTTAAAACTTACACTGTAGTGAAAACCGATTAAAAAAATATATTTTATACCTTTCAGATCAACAGCATTCAGTATTACCATACTTCGAGAAGATTATAACGAAGATGCTGTTCTACGGCTACTCCAGAAGCTGCTGAAGTTTGAAATGATGGACGCTTATGTCAAAGTGCTGCAAGTCCTATTTAACTTTAAGTGTAAGTATAATAAAAAAGATTTATTTATAGTAAATGTAATTTAGGAAAGACTAGGGTCATAAAAAATATACTAAAAATCAAAAAGAGGAAAATATACAGTAACACCAAATTATGCATAATAAACTTTCTCATTCATTGTTTACCAACTTCATAAAGGTAATGCAATATTGTATGCGTTATACAATATTGCATTAATTACAAAACATTATTATGCAACAGTAATTGCTGCTGCTTACAATAGGTATTCTGAAGTTAGGGTTGCCAAGTCCAAAAACACAAAAACCAGACTTGGTGACCAATTCTAAAGCTATACACACTTTTTTAATAGCGACTTGTAACATACCTCATGGGTGATTACTATCAACTATCATATTCGAATCGGTAGCCCAACATTCTGATTGGCGCATGTGAGCTCGATATTATTCTGTGGCTCGTCTTTCGACTGGCGCGGCACATGAAAAGCCGGACTAAAGCCGGATAGACCGGACTAAAGCCGGACAGGCCAGACTAAAGCTGGAAAGGCCGGACTTAAGCCGGACAGGCCGGATTTAAGCCGGACAGGCTGGACCAAAGCTGGAAAGGCCGGACAGGACGGACTGAAGCCAAATAGGCCGGACTAAAACCGGACACCTAGCAACCCTATCTGCAGTGCCAATCGTTTGCCCTAATGACACTTGACGTTGCTGTCCTATTTGCTGACCTTATCACGAACGGACGATAAAGTCCTGACTGGGCAAACGTGTTTGTCTTGAGTTTTAAATATTTTATAATGTTCATACTATTTTAGAAGAAGGTCTATTAGTTTAGCTCAATAAAACATGGATGCTTTAAGAAACTGATTTTGATGTAACTAATTTAAAGGCGCGCGCGCACGTTTGACTTTTGTCACCGTGACAGTATGTCTCTCTAAGAGAAATATATCAATCTGTATTACACCTTTATAAAGAGAAAAAAAGAGACCCAATGTCACGGTGACAGAATTCACCCGTGAGCGCGCGCCGTTACGAGTATTTTACCTTAAAGTTCCCTTAATTTATTTCAAGTCCGATTAGTCGGACGAAGCGGAATTGCGATTCCTTGTAGTCTGATTAATCGAACCAACAGGAAAAAAACGTTCACGTGGTCCGATTAGTCGGAAAAAGCAGTCTGACCACGTGTTCAGAGGGTGTATTATGATTAAGTAAGTATGTCCTATGGCTGAGATGATGATGATGTATTATGATTTATTTTAAAACAACTGTAAGCTACTTACTTCTTGATTTATGATGCCGTTGGTAATAGTTCCTGAGTGGCAACCTCGAACTGGGAGACGTAGTGTAGTTAGGCCTCCAACTTAGAGGACCGACGATGCAGTGATGGCCGCGGGAACTATTTAGATGCGGGTAGCACAGAACATCGTAGAAATCCTTTAGGAGGCCTTTAGTTCAAACGAACGAATGACTTCCTAAGTCATATTATTTTGCGTTTAACGACGTTTCAATCTAATTCACGAAATATTTTTTATTTTCAACACAATTTGTTTGATTTCAGTAAGACAACGCGATATACGCGGCTGCGCAGAAATCATGAGAAACTGTGAAGTTCTCGGTGTGAAACTACCCTCAGACCAGCAAGGCAGGTACATAAAGATGCTCATTCACGGCATTTCGCCTATAGAATCGAAGCCGGCTGACAAACCGACCTCTAAAAACTTCAAACTTAAGTTCTAGACGTAGTTTTTTTAATGTACCTAGTAGACATTTTTTGTAAATAAAATTATTTATTATAAATTTTTGACTTTTTGTTGTATCAGTCAAATGCGTGCGGGTACGTCGTTGTAGACAAATACAAAAACATTTTTTTCGGACCTAACATAGAATTGGGATAGTTTTCGATTGGGTACCGTCTGATTCCGTATACAAATTCGAATAAAATTCGATATGTCTGCAAGGAGTCTAGAATATGCGGTCTTTTAATTTATTTCATTTACACAGTTGTTCAACACTTGACACGAACGACGCGATGCGGTAATTTGGAAAATTGATTGTTGATTTTTTACTACAAAATTGCGAACTTATTTAAGTATTTACTCAGCTGAAAAGATACCCCCCCAGACTGCAGTCTTTCGGTTGATAGTTTGATCGGGCTGTTATATAATCACTAAGAACATGAAGTACGTACCTACACTACTGTAGTGTGTACTACTCCGTTGGTCGATTCTTCATACCAATTGGACACCGCACAAACTACCCACTTTTAGCCCGCCGATATACTTTGATCGGCTTTCAATTTGTATGAAGAATCAACGGTCTAGTCTGTTTATTTGATCACCTGGTTTTGATCACCCAGGTGATCAAAGTGAACTCTGAAAATTATTATAAAACTTATAAAACGCACCTCCTTTGAATAGTCAACATGTCCAATTGTTGTACTTACCTACATATTGTTTTGTAACATTTTTGATATTTTCTAAAAAGGAAACTAAAATATCCTTTTAAAGGCGCAGGATGCAGGCCGCTGCCAACCGTGCGATGTGAAAGTCATTGGGGGAGGCCTATGATCAGCAGTGGACGTCCTGTGGCTGAAATGGCGATGACGATGAAACTAAAATAACAATTAAACTGGAGTCCACTTTGACCACCCAGGTCATCTTATCCATGGGTGATCAAAGGACACCAAATTGTCGCTTGGAGTCCAATTTGATCACCTGGGTGATCAAAGCCATGTGATCAAAGTGGAATAGCCCGATCAACCGATACCAAATCGGTGTAATGTGCACACTTCCATGCATGTGCATAAGTCCTACTGATTTACAGTCCGACGCAACTATCGGCCGACTAAAAGTTTGCGGGGTGTCATAGAAGACAACCAAACTGTCTGCTGACTAAAAAGTCTAGTCTGAGGAAGTCTTAAGTCAACGAATTTACCTACTTGCTTCTTCCAATGTCAGTAAGCCGATCTCGTGTAACCTAGTGGTGTCTATGCCCTGAAGTCCAGGTTATTCATCTTTATACGCCTAATCTACGCCAAATTTGGTCAACAATTGACCTTTCAACTTTAATTATCTAAACTAATTCAAGTATTACGGTTCCGTTATCAATTTGTAAACATTTTGGCCGGTCGTTTGTGAACCTATTTAATACTTAGTTTAGGATAACGAGCGTTTCCTTGTTGTAATTATGTTACTGTTTATTTATATCTGATTAATTGTTATTGTACACGTATCTTTTAAACGTGCCTTCTGTCTACACGCGTGTCTTTGTTGAGAAGATATCTCATAACGATTTCTTAAGTTCATGTTGGTTGTTATGGTAGCTTTGTTGCTACATGGAACTACTAAAAACCGCATTAAAATCCGTTGCGTAGTTTTAAAGATCTAAGCTAAGCGTACAAAGGGACAGACAGCCTAATGCGACTTTGTTTTACCTATGTATAACTATGTAGTGAATCTTATTTCTCTGTCCCAGCGCTGCGACTTCTATGTAGTTAGGCTCTGTAGCTTGATACCTCATCTAAATTCAGTGTTTAGGAAAGAAGGTAGGTATATGTCTACCTAATAATTCCTTAATTAAAACGTATGTTATCTCAACTAAATAAGTACTTTAGGGAATCGAACCCCCAGTCATTAATATTTTGTCTTAAATAATTTGTGATACTTAAAACTCAAACGCGCGATTCAATAGAAATCTTATATTTATTGAGATTTTTCGGTAACTAATACAGGTAACGTTATTATTAACACTTAGAAATAAATAGGCAATGTCAAAAACGCGTTATCTCGTTCTCTTTAGGCTTTACTTCGGCAGGAGGGGGGGCAGGCTCGGCGGCGTCTCTTCTGTTCAGGGCGATCAGAGTTCTGAAACAAAAACATTCTCTGTTATTGCACTAGTAGATATTGTTGGGGCCTTATACTATCACTAGCTTTCCGCCCGCGGCTTCGCCCGCGTGATATTTAGTTTGTCACAGATCTTTATAAATTGAGGCCGTCGTCAGCGCAAAAGCCACATTATTCAAAATTTATTCAAAACCTAATAAATTTTGATGCTAAAGCGGCCTATCCCTAGTTCACCCTTAATTAAGAGATGGGGCGTTGTAAACATTCTTTTTGCGCGCATTATTTTTGCCTACGAAGCAGTATAAAAGTGGCCTAACCAAGTTTAGGCTCCATAGTTATATGTTAAGCTTAGCCCACTTTTGCGCTGACGGCCTCAATTATAGCCTATATGTTAATCTGGGTTATAAACAATAATACTGTAAAGTTTCATCAAAATATTATTTATATAATATTTTGAATATATTGTAACTGTATGTTTCCCAAAAAATAAATAAATAAATCCGTTCAGTAGTTTTTGCGTGAAAGAGTAACAAACATCCAGACATCCAAACTTTCGCATTTATAATAATTAGTAGGAAGTAGGATTTACTGGGTTATTAATTCCATTTTTTGCCACTCGACGTTCAGAATTATTTGAATTTATCATACAACTGAGAAAACTTATCAGGTTTCTAAGTGAAAATAATTAAATCAACAAACAGTGTTGGAGTCTTTCAAACTCTGTAAGGCTGGGTAAGCTGGGTTGCACCATCTTACTTTAACTTATAACAAACGTCAAAATCTGTCAAACTCCATCCAAAAACATCGGTTATCTTATAGTTACGGTTAAAGTTAGACGGTGCAACTTAGCCTAAGACTCATGGAATCATTGATTTAACAAACAAATTGCGTCGAGGAACGAAAATGTATATTTTTTTGTGCACATTTCCCAAATTAAATCAAAAGACGATCAGCATTGGTCAGAAAAAAGTTTCTTAGTGGCCAGAAGTTTACGCAAGGAGTTTGACCGCAAGCGGATTCAAAAATGCTTAATTACAAGAACAAAATTAATTTGTATGAAAAGAACGTTTATTTTTTCGGATTTTTTTTCCGGAAAAGCATTAAACATTTCTCTTCATTCCTTTTATGAACCGTCTCCGGACTTCATGGAATAGGTTAACTTACTGTTTCTGTTTTTTATATGGCCAAATTCGTTTTGATGATACCAGCACATTTAGCGACATATATTTTAATTTTAATAGACTATTATTTCAAGATCGAAATCACTTATACCACGTACATTAAGTGCTCTCAATCGTTTCCTGGACCAAAACCCAAAATGTGACGTATTTGCAGAGGGGTGGAGTACGTTACTAGCAGAATGTTTGGGTTACTGTGAAAAAAATCGCATCTGATTTATGTACTTTTCCTAAATTAAGTTAAGTTAAATTGTTTTTAATTACCTAAATGTTATTCTGAGCTTTGTTACGTCTTGTTTGAATAGTGTAATTGGTACTACCGTTCTATTCATGAATAAATAAATAAATAAATAAATAAATAAATTATTGATTATTTACGAGTATTAGGAAATAATACAACAGTGTAAGTGCAATCGGAGTAAACTACACTGCATCGCAGGGTGACATGATCTGACTTCTCACCCTTCTAGCGATTAGTTACGTCAACAATTATGTCACTTATCTGCAGTCTCCTTTCACTGTATCTATTCTAGTATTATTATACTATACCTACCTATTATTGCTATAACTTAACAACTAGTCGATAAATCTAAATCTAGTACGCTCGATTCGATCAATCAAGTTCGTAAAAAGAATCGATGAGAATTTTTCAGAACTAAGTATCGAGGCATTTCGGAACATCACCAAATATTTTAGTTATTTTTAGTTACATTATCATCATAGTGGGTTCAAAAACCAGGTTCCTGGACAGTTTTTGATAGTTTTTAGATTGGGCCAATGAACATAAGATAGAAAACAATTTTATTTAACACTGTTCCTGCGAAATCATTCTCAATAGGTTAGGTATGCATGTTTGATATAAAATAAGTAGGCCACGACGATATACTTTAAAATTGATAAATAGTTAAGGGAGAGTCCGCTAATTTGGACCAGTTTTTTTCAATCCCATTTTACACATAGTTTTCTTTTGTTTTTGCTAATGTCCATGGTATATAATAAAAGATACATTATTCAACTTACTATTTCATAAGTATTAATTAACATGATTGTTGTATATTTAGCACAAATCAACAAAGTACGAGTTCAGAGCTTCGGTCCAATTTAGCCAACCGGTTCGATAATTTGTACCACAGGGTTACTAAATTGGATTGGATTTCAATAAATTTCAAGCCTTTAAAAAAACTATGGCAAAATATTATACGATACATTCTTAACAAATTAGGAAACGAAGAGGAACAGTGGTTAATAACATAGACAATCGATATTGTTTTACACGTTACTTATCACGATTTTGAGTACAAGTTTTGTAATTCCAATTATCGTAACGCACACTTGTACCTAATCTACTTTGCCAGTCTTTTGCTTTCATTTATTGTTAGTCAAACATAACTACGCTATTATAACTTCAAAATATGATTTACTAAAAAAAATTCAAAATCCTTTAGTAAAGTTCCATACAACTTGATGAGGTACAATTTAGCCGACTAGGTGATAGTGCTTTTAAAAAATCGTTAAAAAATATAGCTTATAAATACCGAAAAATGTTTCAAATAATTGTAATCCACACTAATTTACGCTTCTAAATAATATATTAGAAACACCCTGTGATTAAATTTAACAAAATTACAATCTAAACATGTATTGTCAAAAGTTACTTGAAAACAATGAAAAAATACTTTTCAAAATAAAACACACGTGTTTGTTGTCACGGCAAAAACCACATGGCCGAT